ACCAACACGAAACTGCTTTACATCAACCACACATATTCTATCTTATACTGGAGGGGGTGTCAATAGTTCAGTAGAAAAATAAAAATTGTCCCAACATTGCAAAAATAATCGATCAATAAATTAATTAATTCAAGTCAATAAACCTTTTTATCTTAAAAAATTTTTCACACAATCATCAGAGTGAAAGGAGAAGGTTGTTCTCTGTCAAATAATAATAATAATAATAATAATAATAATCGTGATTGTTTATGTTTTTATTAGTGATGCATGCACAGATATTCCAGACCAGTATCTCCAAAGCAAATTCCACTATTCTATCATGTCTCCGAACTTCACTACCATTCTTCCATTGGGATGCACACATTCCTCTTCGGGAAATACACACGCTAACTCAAACATCACACTCGGCTCATGTAGAGTTTTGCTCCATCACTGTAGTCACCATGAGTAGGAAGATACCGGTTCTGTTTGGTTCTAGTATTCAGTTCTATTGCCTGTTTGACTTCAATGTTCTCCTTGGACCCAGTCAAATTAGGTCCTTTGCATTATTTTACAACAATATTCTGATATCCAATATTTCAATGATCACACTATTTATATTAATATTAATATAATTAATTAATAATTGATTTACAATGTTGATATTCCACTATCCTTTTCCTTTTACTTGTGTGGTGATAGAAACAAATCTAAACGCAATAAGCTTCATTTGGGAGCTCACAAAGATTCCCAAAAGAAAGAGCTGGGACTGAGACTTGTAGAAAAATAAAGAAACTGTTGCAGTCGTGGCTGTGAGAGAGGTGGTTCATATACTCTCTCATTAGTATTTACATCTGTACGACAGTAGTGGCCACAAGCCATTTAGGAGACCTGTGTTTGGCTCCACAGTAATTAGTTACAATTTTGAAGATGTGTTTTTGCTCTTTTAAGAATCAGTACCCAATTCAAACAGCTCTAAATTACACCTTTGAGAGAAACATTTTCTCATCTTTTCTCCACAAAGAAAAGCTTGGTATTGTCCCCAAGAGCTGACATCAAAACAACAATCTGAGTTAAAACAAATCACATCTCAATCTAAATTCTGTTTCTGTTTGTCACGGTCGTCTAAGAGCGAAGGAGACCAAGGCGCAGCGTGTGCAAGAAACATGACTTTATTAATTAAAGTTTCGAACTACAAACAAAAGACGACTCATGAAGTCCACGGTACACCGACCGAAACGGAACAAAAACCCACAACACCCAAAGGAAAACATACAGATAAATATGGCTCCCAATCAGAGATAACGAGCCGACAGCTGACACTCGTTACCTCCGATTGGGAGTCACATGACTACACAAGAACTAACCAAAACCACACACACCCAAATGAACACACCCTATTCCCAACCTAACCAAAACAAACCCCAACAACACGAATACACCCTGGCTCAAATACAAGTCCCGGAGCCAGAGTGTGACACCCGTGAGCACTAGCCAAAAATTTCTTGGGGGGGGCCTTAAAGGGAGTGTGGCGAAGTCAGGTAGGAGACCTGCGCCTACTCCCTGTACTTACCGTGGAGAGCGAGAGTACGGGCAGACACCGTGTTACGCAGTAGAGCGCATGGTGTCTCCTGTACGCGTGCATAGCCCGGTTCGGTACATTCCAGCTCCACGTATCGGCCGGGCTAGATGGAGCGTTGAGCCGGATGTCATGAAGCCGGCCCAACGCATCAGGCCACCAGTGCGTCTCCTCGGGCCGGCTTACATGGCACCAGCCTTACGCATGGTGTCCCCGGTTCGCCTACATAGCCCGGTGCGGGTTATTCCTCCTTCCCGTACTGGTCGGGCGACGGGGAGCATACAACCGGGTAAGGTTGGGCAGGCTCAGTGCTCAAGGGAGCCAGTAAGCCTGCACGGTCCGGTATTTCCGGCGCCACCTCCCCGCTCCAGCCCAGTACCACCAGTGCCTACACCACGCACCAAGCCTCCTGTGTGTCCCCAGAGTCCTGTGCGTCCTGTTGCTGCTCCCCGCACTAGCCCTGAGATGCGTGTCCTCAGCCCGGGACCACCAGTTCCGGCACCACGCACCAGGCCTATAGTGCGTCTCGGCCGGCCAGAGTCTGCCGTCTGCCCAACGGCGCCTGAACTGCCCGTCTGCCCAACGGCGCCTGAACTGCCCGTCTGCCCAACGGCGCTTGAACTGCCCGTCTGCCCAACGGCGCCTGAACTGCCTGTCTGCCCAACGCCGTCTGAACTGTCCGTCTGCCAAGCGCTGCATGAACTGCCCGTCTGTACTGAGCCTGCAAAGCCGCCCGTCTGCCATGAGCCTTCAGAGCCGTCCGCCAGACCGGAGCCGCTAAAGCCTTCCGCCAGACAGGAGCCGCTAGAGCCTTCCGCCAGACAGGATCAGCCAGAGCCTTCCGCCAGGGGATCAGCCAGAGCCTTCCGCCAGACAGGATCAGCCAGAGCCTTCCGCCAGACAGGATCAGCCAGAGCCTTCCGCCAGACAGGATCAGCCAGAGCCTTCCGCCAGACAGGATCAGCCAGAGCCTTCCGCCAGACAGGATCAGCCAGATCCGTCAGCCTGCCATGAGCAGCCAGATTCGTCAGCCAGCCATGAGCAGCCAGATCCGTCAGCCTGCCATGAGCAGCCAGATCCGTCAGCCAGCCATGAGCAGCCAGATCCGTCAGCCAGCCATGAGCAGCCAGATCCGTCAGCCTGCCATGAGCAGCCAGATCCGTCAGCCAGCCATGAGCAGCCAGATCCGTCAGCCAGCCATGAGCAGCCAGATCCGTCAGCCAGCCATGAGCAGCCAGATCCGTCAGCCAGCCATGAGCCGTCCAGCCAGGATCCGCCAGAGCCGTCCAGCCGGGGTCCGCCAGCCAGCCAGGATCCGCCAGAGCCAGCCAGCCAGGATCCGCCATTCAGTCCGGTGCTGCCCCTTAGTCCGGTGCTGCCCCTTAGTCTGGTGCTGCCCCTTATCCTGGTGCTGCCCCTTAGTCCGGTGCTGCCCCTTAGTCCGGTGCTGCCTCTTAGTCCGGTGCTGCCCCTTAATCCGATGGGGTTAAGTTGGAGGGTGGTCAGTTGGAGGAGGCTACGGAAGCGGGTAGTGACTATGGTGGGGTGGGGACCACGACCAGAGCCAGAACCACCGCCGAAGAGGTATGCCCACCCAGCCCTCCCTTGGTTAGCCCTAGTTGAGGCGCGGTCGCAGTCCGCGCCTTTAGGGGGGGGTACTGTCACACTCTGGCTCCGGGACTTGTATTTGAGCCAGGGTGTATTCGTGTTGTTGGGGTTTGTTTTGGTTAGGTTGGGAATAGGGTGTGTTCATTTGGGTGTGTGTGGTTTTGGTTAGTTCTTGTGTAGTCATGTGACTCCCAATCGGAGGTAACGAGTGTCAGCTGTCGGCTCGTTATCTCTGATTGGGAGCCATATTTATCTGTATGTTTTCCTTTGGGTGTTGTGGGTTTTTGTTCCGTTTCGGTCGGTGTACCGTGGACTTCATGAGTCGTCTTTTGTTTGTAGTTCGAAACTTTAATTAATAAAGTCATGTTTCTTGCACACGCTGCGCCTTGGTCTCCTTCGCTCTTAGACGACCGTGACACTGTTGGTACTAAAACACTCCAAAGCACTCTCTCTTTCTCCAGCCATCTCTAGTTTGGAACATGGAACAACAGCTCAGAATCCATTTCGTCTAGTGGTTTTGTTTTGGTTCTTGGTGATGCTAAGAGCTCTTTCTGAACAGTAATCAAGGACATTGACGTGTGACAGAGTCCAAAGGCAGTCTCTGATCTGTTGGATTGCATCAGTGCAAAGAGATTCACTACTACAGCTCTGTCTCTTCACCATTCACTCCATGACACGGACCTGTCAGTCAAGATGCACGGTCAAGCAGACTACCAGGAGCACCATGCCCTTAGCCCTCTCTGGCCCAGCACCAGCCCAGTGTCCTAGGTTCAGTGCAAAGTCTATACAGTTCAATATAGGACAGGTAGTCCATACTACTCTGAAGAAACATACGGAAAGACAAACTAGGAAGCACACTATCTTACTGTACAGTACAATCCTTGAACTGTGCAGTGCTGTGTGTGCAGCTGACAGGTGAGGCCTGCAGCCTTTATGTGCCTTGGACATCTGGAGAACACAGCAACATAGTAACGTTGTGTCTTTCTAACTGTGTTAGGAGGGTTAAAGTAGATTTCACTGCAGTGGTTAGGTTGCAGAGACCCAATTTGGATTTAATTGGTTTTTGGGGATAATCGAATAGGTGTAATTTTAAGGGGGTTATGATGAACCCAACCTACTAAAGTTGTTCTGTATTCGTGCAGTTAGTTCTATAAGTGTTGTGGATGCCAGATGTGAACGACATAAGAGGAGAGGGTATACCATGTGAGTGTTGCTGTTCTTCAAGTTATGGGGTTGAAAATATTATATTTGATGTGTTGAGTGTAAGCTGTAAACAGAGTAGCTCTTCCATGGAGAGATATTGTTGTAAAATCCGTGATTTTGATATATATTATTTTATCATTCACTTATACATAGATTTTTGTGTTGTCATGATTTTTTGCTTTGTTAGAAAATCATTGTGGTCATTATATGTTTTATAACTATAGATGTTATTATCATTATCATATTTGACACTGGACCGGATCAAGTTGTTTGTTTAAAAAGCATGCATGTTTCAATTTCCTCCTCCTCGGTTTTCTTTCCCTGATGTCTGTATCTCAGCTGCTCCTCCTCTTTTGATTATCCCCTCATACCTCTTTTCCCTCCCTCCCTCCCCCCTCCTCCTTCTCTCGGGGATGTAATGCTTCCAAAAAAAGGTTATCCGTTGGACCAGCTGTTGTCACTGTATGAGTCCGTTTCCAAATCTTCCTCCTCTTCAGTGGTCACAAGAGTTTATATCCCATCAGAAATGTGTTTGATACCTGAAAAGGAACAGATTTATTGATAAATATTTCATTATTAGGATCAGTCATTCCTGACGCCTGTCACGTCTCTCAGGACGATCTGTCAATCAGTTGGTTGCCATGGCAGCAACAGCGGACCCCTGCTTCTCATCCTTCTCCTCCAGCATCTGGATGCCTCCACAGCTGACATCAGAGGCCTTCCGATCTGTGATTTGCTGTGCTGGTGGTTGCCCCGGACTACTGCGCCCTGGACTACTGCGCCCCGGACTACGTTGACCCGGACTACTGCCCCCGGAGGCGATGGCTTCGTCTCGCTGTGTGGGCTGGGTTAGAGTGGCAGACTCCGGCTCCATGCACAGTGTCACCTCCTCGTCCTGTTCAGGGGACAGAGCAGGGGGCTTGGTCAGGGGGTGACACTTACAGAGCATTCAGATAGAAATGTTTAGAGTATAACAGATACTGCATGATTCTCTAACCACAGAGAGGAGAAAGCATGGGTTTATTAATGAGTTCAGATAGAAATGTCTCCCTGTCATATATTAAAGCATCAAGGATGTACATCTCTGCACTGATATGAACTCAGGGCCCAGTTTTTCAAAAATGATCTATCTGGATTACGCCTATCGGATAGGATTAAATGCATAGAAATATAATTAATAGAATGGACAAATCATTGTTTTGAATGGGGACTCCCATTCTATTGATTTTATTTCTATGCATTTAATTCTATCCGATAGGCAAATTCCAGATAGATCATTTTTGAAAAACTGGGCCCTGATGACCCTGTGACCTGATATGACCTCACCTTCAGCTCCTCCTCCTCCTCCTCCTCCTGCTGCTCCAGCAGAGGGGAGTGTTCTGTCCCCGCCCCCTCGTCCCCAGACGGAACACTCAGAGCCGCCTCCACCACCGCTGCCACGCCTATGTTGTACCCTCCAATATCCGCGTGATAGGACTCCGTCTGCCCCGCCCCCCACAGGTCCACCAATGGGGCGTGGGTGGCAGGGGCCAGGCTGTGGATGGTGCTGTTGGGTGTGGCTTGCAACGAGTGGTTGGCGCTGTGCAGCCTTTGCTCCAGAGACTGTGGAGAGAAGGACGAGACAATGAGGAGCCGTATGTAGGTAAAGGTTCCCTCTAACCACTGATACAGGATCAGATATTTGTTTATCCCGCCTAATGGTAAAGACTCTGGAAATATGATCCTAAATCTGTGGTTAAGGGATGTTTCTTCCTTTAAGCATAATGTTGGATTGAAAGGGACAGGGTAATTGTGTTGTACTAAGAAGGGAGATACAATAATGTAGTGCTGAATCTCTGACGACATTACCATATCAAAGGCCGAATTCAGTATTCTTTTCTCGATCAAAATACCCCAGAGAAAAAGGAGAAAACCCCATTAAAAATCTAAATATCAGACGCCTGACTACGCCATGAATGAATATTGCCTATCTATGGAAATTGATTGTTATTGCTTTCCTCTCATATTAGACCGTTGTTTTTCCTCACCTGTTGTTGCTGATACAGGAGCTGCTGTTGCTGGTAGTGCTGTATCTGTTGCAGCTGCTGCAGCTGCTGGAGCTGACTCTGCTGCTGTAGGTTGAACTGCTGCTGCTGTTGCTGCTGCTGCTGCTGCTGCTGCAACACGTTCCCATCATACCCATCACAGGAAGTCCCGCCCTGCTGCATCACGTAGGAGCCAGCAGCAGGAGAGGCCACTCCGGAGGGCTCGTTGCTGATTGGCTCCCAGGCGTCGGAGGAGGAGAGGCAGTAGAGGCCCTGGGCGACATAGGTGTTGGGCCACATGTCTGCAGAAGAGTGGTGCAATATCTGGTCTGAGAGGATAAAAAGAATGAGAAAATAGAAGAGTGAAGAGGTGGGATAAGCGGTTGGTTGTCCTTGACGGATGCACTACATTGGACCTCATGGACATCAAACTGCAAAAAAAATTACAATTCTGACATCAGCCTTTTTTCAGAAAGAGGAAACCTCGAGAGGAATCATGTGATATCCCTGAGGGACACCCCAACCCTCTCAGACCCAAATGTATCCTTGAGCTAATGACTTTACTTGAACGATCCCCAGACAGACCCCAAGTGTAGCTACACCGAGTAGGCTAATACATCAGCATTATGACTGTATAGCCATTGGGGAGTCTGTCTGCCCTGCATTAAAATGACCTATAATTCAGCCAATAACATGGCTGATATGAATAAGGGTGAGTCGTGGTAGTTTTTGCCATCTCAAATTCCAATCAGTTTTTTTTAACGGATGAACAAGGCGACTAATATCCCCCACTGACTGATAACAACATTAAAACTTTTGAGGTATTGCAGCCATTTTGTGCGAAGGAGGAAAATAAATGGGGGAATATATCAGTGTCACGCCCTGGCTCTGGGGACTCTTAAATGTTGAGCCAGGGTGTGGATTTTCTATGTTTAGTTTTCTATGTTTTTGTTCTAGATCGTTTAGTTCTATGTTGGCCAGGGTGGTTCCAAATCAGAGGCAGCTGTAGCTCGTTGTCTCTGATTGGGGACCATACTTAGGCAGCCTGTTGGCACCAGTTAGTTTGTGGGATCTTGATCCTTAAAGGTTTGTTGTGTTATAACCTCAGGACTTCACGTATCGTTTGTTTGTTGTTTTTGTCGTTAAGTACGTTAAATAAAATTATGTACGCTTATCACGCTGCGCCTTGGTTCCACGAGTCTTCCTGTAACGATCGTGACAGAAGATCCCACCTAAAGAGGACCAAGCAGCGTGTCCAGGTACAGACAGCCTGGACTTGGGAGGAGATCCTGGACGGGAAGGGATCCTGGACTTGGGAAGAGATTCAGGCCGGAATGGATCGCCGTCCTTGGGAGGAGACTGTGGAGGCGCGCTACAGAGAGGAGCAGCGGCAACGCAGAGGGTACCGGCCGAGGAGGAAGCCCGATAGACAGCCCCAAGAAAACATTTTGGGGGGGCTAAAAGGGTGGTTGGCGGAGCCTAGAGTTAGAGCAGAGCCAACTCCCCGTACTCAGGCTAGGAAGCGTGAGACTGGGCAGGAGTCCTGTACGTCCGGTGCTAGCACCACGCACGTGTCGTGCTAAGATGGGCATGCAGCCAGGACGGGGTGTGCCGGCTCAACGCTCGTGGCCTCCAGTACGCCTCCTCGGTCCCGTATGTCCTGCGCCAGTGCCACGTGCTGTAGCGCCAGTACGAGTGCACAGCCCTGTACGTCATGTGCTGATGCCTCACACATATTGTGTGGAAATAGGCATTCAGCCAGGACGGGTTGTGTCAGCTCTCCGCTCCAGACCTCCAGTCCGCCTCCACAGTCCGGCCCGGCCCGTTCCGGCTCCCCGCACCAAGCCAGTGGTGCGTGTTCCCAGTCCAGCCCGGCCTGTTCCTGCTCCCCGCACCAAGCCAGTGGTGCGTGTTCCCAGTCCAGCCCGGCCTGTTCCTGTCCCTCGCACCAAGCCAGTGGTGCGCGTCGCCAGCCCGGTCCGGCCTGTTCCTGCTCCCCGCACCAAGCCAGTGGTGCGCGTCGCCAGCCCGGTCCGGCCTGTTCCTGCTCCCCGCACCAAGCCAGTGGTGCGTGTCGTCAGCCCGGTCCGGCCCGTTCCTGCTCCCCGCACCAAGCCAGTGGTGCGCGTCGTCAGCCCGGTCCGGCCCGGCCCGTTCCTGCTCCCCGCACCAAGCCAGTGGTGCGTGTGTCCAGTCCGGCACGGCCCGTGCCTGTTCCACCGGTGCCTGGTGCACCGGTTAGCTGCTCCACTCCGGAGTCAGAGCAATCCGCTCCACCGGGGTCCGGTCCAACTCCAGTCAGCGGATCCACTCCGGAGCCAGAGCAATCCGCTCCACCGGTGTCCAGTCCAGCTCCGACCAGAGGCTCCAGTCCGGAGCCGGTAAGGTTTGGTCCACCGTCGTCGGGTCCAGCTCCAGTCAGCGGGGCCAGACCAGACCAGGGGCGCAACGGAGAGGTGGAGAAAAGGTGGTGGTCACGCCCGGAGCCGGATCCGCCTCTGAGGCGGAATGCCCACCCGGCCCCTACCCTCTTGTGTCTTGGGGGGGGGTACTGTCACGCCCTGGCTCTCGGGACTCTTAAATGTTGAGCCAGGGTGTGGATTTTCTATGTTTAGTTTTCTATGTTTTTGTTCTAGATCGTTTAGTTCTATGTTGGCCAGGGTGGTTCCAAATCAGAGGCAGCTGTAGCTCGTTGTCTCTGATTGGGGACCATACTTAGGCAGCCTGTTGGCACCAGTTAGTTTGTGGGATCTTGATCCGTAAAGGTTTGTTGTGTTATAACCTCAGGACTTCACGTATCGTTTGTTTGTTGTTTTTGTCGTTAAGTACGTTAAATAAAAGTATGTACGCTTATCACGCTGCGCCTTGGTCCGTGTCTTCAGTCAATGATCGTGACAATCAGTTTGTGTGTTGCCAATGCTATGGCTCGCCGTTATATATAAAAAGGCTGTCAAACACAAAATAATTAGGTAAATAACACTTATTCGTAGACACGTCTTTGGGACATTGTCCTAACAAGTTTCAGATAGCTGAATCTGCCAAAAGCGCTTCAAGGTGTGCTGAGTTGATATGTTGGTGCTAAGAGTCAGCGAGCATCATGCCGGCAACCTTACATTACATCACTTTAATAGACGTTTTATAGAACAGCGCCGGAGAAGATGGCTGCCGTTTTACAGCCCTCTAACCAACCCTCTAACCAATTGTACTATTATGTGTGTTTTTCCGCGTTATTTGTAATTTATTTTGTACATAATGTTTCTGCCATCGTCTCTTATAACCAAAAAGAGCTTCTGGATATCAGGACAGCGATTACTCACCTCGCATTGGACGAAGATTTTTTCTTCAACGAGGCGGCCGCGAAGGATATCATACAGACACCCGACAAGGCCCAAATCCCCGTCATTCGCGTGAGGAAGAGACGGAGATATCGCGGACGCAGATCCGGATGCCTTGTAAGGATCCGACGGCGAGCGAGTAAACTGCCTCTTCCATCAATCCTATTAGCCAACGTTCAATCTTTTGAGAATAAAATGGACGATTTAAGATTACGGTTATCCTACCAACGGGACATTAAAAACTGTAATATCTTATGTTTCACTGAGTCGTGGCTGAACGACAACAATGATAACATTCAGCTAGCAGGCTATACGCTACATCGGCAGGACAGAACGGCTGACTCTGGTAAGACAAGGGGTGGCGGTCTGTGTATATTTGTAAACAACAGCTGGTGCACAAAATCAAATACTAAGGAAGTCTCGAGGTTTTGCTCGCCTGAGGTAGAGTATCTTATGATAAGCTGTAGACCACACTATTTACCAAGAGAGTTTTCATCTATATTTTTCATAGCTGTCTATTTACCACCACAAACCAATGCTGGCATTAAGATTGCACTGAATGAGTTGTACAAGGCCATTAATCAACAGGAAAACGCTCATCCAGATGCAGCGCTCCTAGTGGCCGGGGACTTTAATGCAGGGAAACTTAAATCCGTTCTACCTAATTTCTACCAGCATGTTAAATGTGCAACCAGAGGGAAAAAAACTCTAGACCACCTTTACTCCACACACAGAGACGCATACAAAGCTCTCCCTCGCCCTCCATTTGGCAAATCTGACCATAACTCTATCCTCCTGATTCCTGCTTATAAGCAAAAACTGAAGCAGGAAGCACCAGTGATTCGGTTAATAAAAAAGTGGTCAGATGACGCAGATGCTAAGCTACAGGACTGTTTTGCTAGCACAGACTGGAACATGTTCAGGGATTCTTCAGACAGCATTGAGGAGTACACCACATCAGTCACTGGCTTCATCAATAAGTGCATCGATGATGTCGTCCCCACAGTGACCGTACGTACATACCCCAACCAGAAGCCATGGATTACAGGAAACATCCGCACTGAGCTAAAGGGTAGAGCTGCCGCTTTCAAGGAACGGGACTCTAACCCGGACGCTTATAAGAAATCCCGCTATGACCTCCGACGAACCATCAAACAGGCAAAGAGTCAATACAGGTCTAAGATTGAATCATACTACACTGGCTCTGACGCTCGTCGGATGTGGCAGGGCTTGAAAACTATTACAGACTACAAAGGGAAGCACAGCCGCGAGCTGCCCAGTGACACAAGCCTACCAGACGAGCTAAACCACTTCTATGCTCGCTTCGAGGCAAGCAACACTGAAGCATGCATGAGAGCACCAGCTGTTCCGGATGACTATGTGATCACGCTCTCCGTAGCCGATGTGAGTAAGACTTTTAAGCAGGTCAACATTCACAAGGCCGCAGGGCCAGACGGATTACCAGGACGTGTACTCCGAGCATGTGCTGACCAACTGGCAAGTGTCTTCACTGACATTTTCAACATGTCCCTGACTGAGTCTGTAATACCAACATGTTTCAAGCAGACCACCATAGTCCCCGTGCCCAAGAACTCTAAGATAACCTGCCTAAATGACTACCGACCTGTAGCACTGACGTCTGTAGCCATGAGGTGCTTTGAAAGACTGGTCATGGCTCACATCAACAGCATAATCCCAGAAACCCTAGACCCACTCCAATTTGCATACCGCCCCAACAGATCCACAGATGATGCAATCTCTATCGCACTCCACACTGCCCTTTCCCACCTGGACAAGAGGAACACCTACGTGAGAATGCTATTCATTGACTACAGCTCAGCATTCAACACCATAGTGCCCTCTAAGCTCATCACTAAGCTAAGGATCCTGGGACTAAACACCTCCCTCTGCAACTGGATCCTGGACTTCCTGACGGGCCGCCCCCAGGTGGTAAGGGTAGGTAACAACACATCTGCCACACTGATCCTCAACACGGGGGCCCCACAGGGGTGCGTGCTCAGTCCCCTCCTGTACTCTCTGTTCACCCATGACTGCATGGCCAGGCACGACTCCAACACCATCATTAAGTTTGCCGACGACACAACAGTGGTAGGCCTGATCACCGACAACGATGAGACAGCCTATAGGGAGGAGGTCAGAGATCTGGCCGTGTGGTGCCAGGACAACAACCTCTCCCTCAACGTGACCAAGACAAAGGAGATGATTGTGGACTACAGGAAAAAAAAGAGGACTGAGCACGCCCCCATTCTCATCGACGGGGCTGTAGTGGAACAGGTTGAGAGCTTCAAGTTCCTTGGTGTCCACATCACCAACGAACTATCATTGTCCAAACACACCAAGACAGTCGTGAAGAGGGCACGACAAAGCCTATTCCCCCTCAGGAGACTAAAAAGATTTGGCATGGGTCCTCAGATCCTCAAAAAATTCTACAGCTGCACCATCGAGAGCATCCTGACTGGTTGCATCACCTCCTGGTATGGCAACTGCTTGGCCTCCGACCGCAAGGCACTACAGAGGGTAGTGCGTACGGCCCAGTACATCACTGGGGCAAAGCTTCCTGCCATCCAGGACCTCTATACCAGGCAGTGTCAGAGGAAGGCCCTCAAAATTGTCAAAGACTCCAGCCACCCTAGTCATAGACTGTTCTCTCTGCTACCGCACGGCAAGCGGTACCGGAGTGCCAAGTCTAGGTCCAAAAGACTTCTCAACAGCTTCTACCCCCAAGCCATAAGACTCCTGAACAGCTAATCATGGCTACCCGGACTATTTGCACTGCCCCCCCACCCCATCCTTTTTACGCTGCTGCTACTCTGTTAAGTATTTATGCATAGTCACTTTAACTTTACCCACATGTACATATTACCTCAACTACCTCAACTAGCCGGTGCCCCCGCACATTGACTCTGCAACGGTACCCCCCTGTATATATAGCCTCCCTACTGTCACTTATTTTACTTCTGCTCTTTTTTTCTCAACTTTTTTTGTTGTTGTTTTATTCTTACTTTTTTTGTTTAAAATAAATGCACTGTTGGTTAAGGGCTGTAAGTAAGCATTTCACTGTAATGTCTGCACCTGTTGTATTCGGCGCATGTGACCAATAAAATTTGATTTGATTTGATTTGATTTAATGATGACTCAAAACTGTGTAAAAATACATCCAGCGACAGCCAAATCGTTTTTACCACTAACAATAATTAAATAACTGAAGTTGTGATTAAACTAATGATCATCACACAGTCTCGAGGCCATTTGTTATCTCACAATAACAAACCACAGGGAGAAAACCACATTATGATTTCAACACGTCTCCATGTCTGAATGCCTCTTTGCATGAGAAGGAGAAATACAGGAGCACTGTAACGGACAACACAGTGATGTGGAATAATAATGGCCAAGTGTACTATTTATACAGTTGAAATCCCTGGTCTTGCATTCACCCAGGCTGTGTTTGCGAACCTGAAATGAGTACAGAGTTAACCCTCCAAGCTGAGATGGAATAAGATGCCTTTGTTACTGAGCAAAATGACGCATATTGTAGCCCACACACTACACTCCAGCTTTGCCTGATCTCAAGCCTATGCAAAAACGTGTTTGGCTGCAAATTTTAGACAAGGTTCCACAGTGCAGGATCCTATTTAGCTCCTTAAACTATCCCTTAAACTTTTTTGCCCTAGTTGATTGGTGCTACTGTAGTTTGTCAAGGTAGTCCCTTACCTCGACTGACTCATGCTCATTTAGAGGCCATATTTATAGTCCTTTACCTCAACTGACACATGGTTGTATAGAGGTCATATTTGTAGTCCCTTATCTCGGCTGATACATGCTGGTTTAAAGGCCATATTTGTAGTCCCTTATCTCGGCTGATACATGCTGGTTTAGAGGCCATATTTGTAGTCCCTTATCTTGACTGATACATGCTGGTTTAGAGGCCATATTTGTAGTCCCTTATCTCAGCTGATACATGCTGGTTTAAAGGCCATATTTGTAGTCCCTTATCTCGGCTGATACATGCTGGTTTAGAGGCCATATTTGTAGTCCCTTATCTTGGCTGATACATGCTGGTTTAGAGGCCATATTTGTAGTCCCTTACCTCGGCTGGTGATGCTCTCCTGGTTGACTTCGCTAAGGTGGGCCACACTGCCCTGGTTGGACCCTGACCTCAGGCTCTCTCCATCCATGGAGGTCCAGGCCATGAGCGTTGCCTGGGAGATGGCAAACTGCTGCAGGATACCTGGAGTTCAGAGGGTAAGTCACGGTCATTGTAACGTCTCAGTTGGCTGGTGCTTTCCCTCAGAGCCATAATGATTTAATATCTATGGCTATTTATAGAAAGATGTAATATCCAGATTTAATATCTATGGTTCTGCTATGCCTAAGCCAATGTTGACCAATTTGGCTGGTGTTATGCCATGCCAATTAGCTGACCTATAAACAGTCTTGTTATGATGTAGGGTTCAACACATGAGAACCCTTTTGCCCAAAGGCTTAATTTTGTGAGAGTTTTCTCTGAAAAACCCCCTGGTTGTATAAATCAGCATCAACCACTCCTATTGCTCCTGTCACCTCTCACAGTGACAAATTCCCTTCCCCCCTCTGACCTGCGGCGAAGCGAGCCTCCTTCTCCCCGTCGCTGAGGTCGCTGTAGGCGTCGCTCTCCAACCGTCTCTCCATCTCCTGCTCTGCCGTAGACTTGCGTGGGACGGAGACGCCCCCCGGGCCCACCACAGACATGTCCCAGTTCTGCCACTCGATCATGTGTGCCATCCGGCCCTGGGCCATGGACGTAGGCTTGGTCACCTTGTCCTTCATGGAGCGATTCACACCTGGGGGAGGGGGGGGGAGGGGGGAGAAATGAAGAGGGATGTAGGGATTGATGCGGGTATTGGGGAGGGTTAGAAGGGTGAAAGTAGATTAAGGGAGGGTTGGAGGAATATTAAGGGATTTAGACAAGGGGTGAATGTGGAGTTTGGGGGAGTTAGGAGACAGGCATCAGGTTGGAGAGAGATGGGGAAGGAAAGAGATTAGATATGTTATTATTCCACATTTAGGCCTGTCTTATCCTGTCACTATTTAGGGTGGTGCTGATAAGGGCCTCTGGATGAGCAGTTAAACGAACGGCTTAATGAACATGCTTTAGATTCATGGCTAACTGAATAGGAGGTGACCTAGTGTGTACA